GGCGCGCGCGGGGGGGGGGGGTGTTCAGAACACAGCCACACGTGGCGGCCCATTTCAAATGTTCGTGTGTCCGTGGGCTGCTCTCAGAGTGGTAATCGGCTCCCAGCTGTGGCAATCACCTGACGAGGGACTGCACTGCTGCGGCTAAAAGCCCGGGCTTTGGTTTCAGAGAAACCTGGCTTGAAATCTTGGCTCTGACACTCATTAACTGTGTGGCTTGGGAAGATTCCTGAATCCGATCTTGAAGAACTCTGAAGTCTAGGTTTCAGTCCCCTAATGTGGAAAATTATGCAATCTCCCCACGTGGAGGATCCAACTGTAATGCTCTGTGGACATCTTTCCTCCCCAGAGCCCTAGCCACTCTTACACAATATGCGGCCCCTCTGCCACTGCCACACAATGGAGCTGGAGGCACCATGCAAAACATCCCTCGGGGCATGTGCGGGTCGAGAAAAGACCCCTTAGGGAGAAAGTCCCTCTGCTAAGGCCAGCTCAGCCTTTAGCTTGGTTCTGGTTCTGGTGCTTGGAAGGTCCACCACCTCTCTGGGGTAGAGGTTGCATCCAGGGGCAGCTGTCTTTCCAAGCAGCTGGTTCAATGACCTCAAACAAAGGTCCTCTGTTTTCTTTCACAGGCGCCACTGTGGCTGTAGCTTGGCAGAGGAGAGATGCCGAATGACATGTTCTGGGTTTAGATAACTATTCCCCACCAGTCCGCTTTTCACTTCCCCACCCCATTGTCTGCCCTTCTGTAATTATACACTGTGGACTCGAGCTTCTCCACAGTTCTCCAGGGGAGCTTGCTGACACCCTGCTCATAAGCGTGAGAGGTATGGTCCGGAAGTACACTCAACTCCCGACTGTCCTGTGACACCCCTGCAAAGGCTTTCGTTAGGGCATTGGTCCAGTGCTGGGATCTGCAGTCTCTGTTCATGCTGGCCCTGACTCCAGGAGCCATCAAATCTCAGAGCTGGAATGGCAGTTAAAAGGTCTAAAACCCTCCTTTCCAAGAAAGGAAACAGAGGCAGAAAGGAGAAGAGTGACTGACTTTCCTAGGGCCATGAACCCCATTAGTGTTAAAGCAAGGGACAGAATTCTGGTACCCCTGACCCCTCAAGGCAGATGGGTGAGCATTGTCCCAGCTAGCTTGAGTGAAACACCGGTCCCCTTCATGCTTTAATTGTATCTATCTCTTCTAGGCCTCATAAGGATTCCTACCAGGTGGCAGGCAGTTTGAGCTAATGTGGACACACGGAGTCCATGGAAACGGATAACAAGGCACGTACTAGGAACAGGGGTGTGGCTCTAGTTGCTTTTCAGCATGACTTCTCATTTGCTGGCATTTGCTCATGAGACTCTATTGAAAATGTGACCACATGGTCCATCCTGGCAGCATGGGCCAAGCAAGCAAAACAAGACTAAAAGGGAATTTATTATTTTTTTTTTCTTATCTTCCTAAGAGACAGTAACCAGGCTTCCGTGTTTAGCCCATGGTGACATGTCTTAAATGCTTCTCCTGGGCACTCTGCATTGCCTAGCATCCTCACGCTCTGTTCTCTGAAGCTGTCTCTGCTTCAATGTCTGTAAATCTTAACGATGACTGGCCCCGTTTGAGTCACACGGGTATGGATCGGGCATTGGCTGAGGTCAGAGATGTGATGTTTCGGGCTCTGCGTGAGTCATATGATCATCCGGGGACAGAAGGGTTGTGCCGTGTGTTGTTATCACTGCAGCACCAGATGTGTTGGAAGGGAAACAGGACTGCAGGAGACTTTCTGAATGGGCAGGAGCGTGCGTGTACGTGTGTGTGCTGTTATTGCGGGGACCAGCAATACTGGGGAGATGGAAACTTACAGGAGCCTCTCAAGGACAAGAAGAAGTCAGACAGCTCTGGTGTGATTAGAAGGAAGCGCTGGTGGCTGCCCAGGAGTTCAAAAGAACAGGCGATCCCGAATGGGTGTCATCTTTAAATCTAGTTTCTCCATCACCTCAGACTTTGTTTCATTTGGTCTGGTGGAATTTAGGTTGGGTTTCTAGGAATGGGTGAAATTTAGGTAAGAAAAGGGGAGCTTTGGGAAAGATTGTAACAGCCTAAGGACCATTCACCCATCAGCCCCCGGACAGAGGGACAGGCCATGGAAGGAGCCAGGGCATAGATTTGGAGAGAGTGACCTAATTCCAGGGCTTGTGATGTAAACTCAGCAAAGAGAAGCAAACCCAAGGTGAAAGACTTCAAACAAACCTCATCTCCCTTCCCATTTGTTTTACTTACACTAGAAAAATCCCAACCACATTTCTCTTTCAGATTTTGTTTTTCTTTCCAAATAAGTAATCATTTCTGATTTTGCTTTCTGGAAACAGGGTCTCATGGAGGCCAGGCGAGCTTCAGATGCCTATGTGGCCGATGATGACTTTGAATGTCTGATGAACTCACCTCCTGACTCCTAGGATGACAAGCGGGCCCCACCATGCCTGGTTGCATGTGGTGCCAGGGAGCTCGCCCAGGGCTTTGGGGATGCTAGATCCCGCTGAGCTTCATCACCAGCTCCCCAGCTAGGCTTGAGTTAGGGTGATGTGGTTGTCAAAACCGGTTGTTCAAAATTATTGGTTTCTTTCTTGGTGACGGTTTACTGCTTGTCGGAGCCTTACTCCCTAAAATCCCGTATTGACCCTTTCGTTCCTGCTGCCTGTGTCTTCCTTTGGTTTATTCAATTGGCAAATACCTACCAGTCCTTCAAACGCGGATCAAAATTTCCTTGAGTAGGAAACTTAACACGTCTCCCGTTTTGCAATTAGTGTAGGGGTAGGTGAGTAGGTTTATGAATGAAGATTTCTATATCGTGCAGGGGTGGTATTCGGGTTTTGTGCTGGCCATGAGTGCAAATATCAGAGTGCTCCAATGCAAAGTTAATTAAACAAATAGAGCTTTGCTTTTCTCACATATAAAGGAGTGTGTAAGCAGCAAGTATGACATGGATTCAGTCAGCTGGTCACAGTCCCGTTTCATGATCAGTACCTTGTACACGGTAGGAAACGAGGAGGGTAAGTTAATGGCACTAGCCATACAGTAGTCATCGGGCCATGTCTAGTAGCCACCTTAGCTGCAAGGGAAGTTGGGACGTTCCTCACTTGAGAAATGTATTTGGTTGGTTGGCAGGGATGGGGTGGAGTGGGGGGTGGGGAGGTGTGGGGGTGTGGCGATGGGAATACCCAACCATGTAGGATCTGGCGGCCTGCTAGGCAGCCGGACCAGTTGAAGCAGTGAGTTCCAAGTTCTGTGAGAGCGTCTGTATTGAACATTAAGGTGACGTGTGACAGAGGAAAACATCTGATGTAGACCTCTGGCCTGTGTGCGTGCGTGCGTGCGTGCGTGCGTGCGTGCGTGCGTGCGTACACGCGAACGTGCGTGCTTCAAGATTACAGACAAACACAGAGGCAAACACACCTGCACATACATGTACACACAAATTCAAAACCGAAGAACAAAGAGGAAGTAACTGTTAGCTAGGCAGCCAGTGGTACCCACTACAAGTTTCATCTCACATTCTAAAGTTAGATTCACCGTTGGGCACTATCTTAATTATGACGAAGTCTGACACTATCTCAAGTATGGTGAAGGTTAAGTTGAGTCATTATTGTTTACTTCAAGTGTGGAATGTGGCAGAATGGGAAGGTTGGTGTGGATTTGCCATCCCGAGTCCACGGTGTGGATGGATCTGTTTCCTGGACCATCGGAAGGATTTGAGTAACAGATGTTTTTGTGCTTGGCTTCTACTTGGGGTTGGCTATTTGGAGGCAGAGGAGCAGACGAGCAGAAGAGCAGAGGGTAGTTTCAGCATATTTATTCCCTGGACTCTTTTCCCGCTGGGTCACCGTGGCTTATGCCATATGTCCTTTCAGGTAGCCTACTCAGTACAGCTGTCCCCCTGGTCCCTTGCCTGTTCTAGCCAACCTGGCAATGTTTTCAGTAAACTCTATCTCCACCTTTGTAAACAGTACTTAGAAGAAACGACCCAAGTTACCCAGTCTAAGTTCCATGTCTTTCCTGCAAAGATCCGGACAAGACTCTAATACTTGAGGGACTTGTGGGAGAAGGGTTTAGAACGGTTGATGGAAAACTCATTTTCCCCTGTTAGAGTTTAAGTTCTTCAAAGTCGAGAGGAACTCAAGGGTGTTTCTTCTATTCTGTGGGACATTTACCCCACATGCCTTCTGAAATGTGCGCAAGCATTGACCCCTCCCACCACCACTAGAGCCACGATGGTGTCCCAGGTGGTTCCTATGTATGTTCTGCTGTGAGGTGTTTTAGTCCAGATTGCATTGCCAGGCCTCTGAGAGCTGTTATTCCCAAGGGCTGTGGCTGGAAGTGGGCTAGATAGATAAATGTGCTCAGTCTATCCTTTGCATTCGTTCTGTTTCTCTTCTCTCCAGGCCATTGGTCTACACTTTGAAGATGGGGTGATATGTGATTGAATCCACCACTCACCCACATGAGCGCTGGAGGAGGTTGGGGGTGGCTATCCAACGTCTTCAGTGTTGTTTTTCTTCACCTTTAGTGAACATGCCACTCACCGGGGTACCCTGTCCAATTGCTGCTGCTGGAGAACTAGAAACCATACGTGAGTGTTGACCACATAGCCTTGCACTGTCCAGCTCGGCTTCTGGAGAACTAGGGACCACATAGCCTTGCACCATCCAGCTTGGTAGTTACTAGCCCTATGTATCGCTTTACATGTATTTTATTTTCCTTGCTTTTTTATCTTGTAATCTGATCAACCCATTAGAATTTGGAAATTTTAGCAAAAGCAACCCAAGTCCTGAGTTTGTCCGTTCGTTTAGCTCATGTCAAAAGGGGAAAGGGGAAATTGGTTTCATGGCAATAGAAGGACAGGGAGATGGTCTTAGGAACTGCAGACTTCAGGGACTCAAATGATGTCACGGCCACCATTTATCATCGCCTCTACCCTTCCCCATGATACCCCCTTCTTGACTTTCTGGGCCCTGCGTAGTTTTTACTTGTACACTGGCTTCCTCTCCGAGCAAGACATCCGACCTCTGGAGGCTTGCATGGCTGTCTCCCTCCTCTGGGTCTGTTCCCTCCTTCAGGGAAGAGGAAGGGAGGAGTGGGGAGGGGGGCAGAGAGGAGGGAAGAGAAAGGCTTATAAGCCTCGGGAAACTTAATAAGGCTCCGGAGTTGAGGTTCCCCTCCACCCACAAGTTGCACAGAGAGCTCCTCCGGTGACTCAGCTTTTGTGAGTCATCACCCATGCTAGGTGACAAATATTCCTGAGTCACCCCCACTCCTGTTAAGCGACCATTATTAAACTTATTGGTTCATCAAGCTGAACTTGGGAGGGGCCATTCGTTGGGCTCTGTTGTTGGTGCCCTGACTTGGGTGCACGGATATTTGTTCATGTCTCCCAAAGTCTCGGACTGATTAACACACTCACCGTTGTCATTTCTGGGGTCCCACGGCCACCCACGTGGCCATCAGCATTCAGACAAAATGTCCAGTCATCCCAGGTGCTGGCCTTTCTGGGGCTAGCCGTGCCTGCGCCATCAACGTTCATCCCAGGGACTTATGGCCATGTAATGGATGGGTGGTGTGAGTACATAAGCCCCCATACGCATGTGATAAGTGACCTTTAGAAGCAGATACGCCCTACCCACTCTCTCCATGTTTCTTCCAGACAGGCGTGTGCACACACCCTCTGCCTACTTTTTACTAATAAAACTATTAAGTGGGTTTTGTTGTCTCTCTTGTGGTGTGTTCGAGCACACAGTAAGTAATACCATCTCCACAGGAAAACGCAGCCCTTTCTACCAGAACCTGACTGGTCCAGATTGGGCTTTGTGTGTGGCCTGGAACCTGTCTAGATGCACTGTCTAGATGCTCGCCCCTGCCTGGGGGAGGTGAGTCCCCAGGATGGGCAACCCCCACCCTCAACAGAGGGCGAAGAGAAAGTCCCTTGAAGGAAGTGCCAGGCACACAAAGGGTCCATGGTTGAGATGGATGGACCCAGCAGCCGGCTGATCCACCTGCTCTCTTCGGCAGCCTCGAGAACCTTCCCTGCCCCATCAAATCTCTCTTCCAGGTCCGCCAGGCTTCATTCATTCCCACAGAGAAACACAGCTTGACACATTTTTGCTGGGTGGTTAAAAGGACACGGCCATCTCCCGTGTTTTTCATTCCTGCCTATTATCAGGGCCTTTCCTTCTGGTTTCTCCAGACACCAGGCATTTGATGGTAGCTCCCACTGACTTGCTTGAAGAATTCCTTTAAATTGCTTCGGAGTGGCAAGCCTAACTGCAAGGGTGGTGACTAGCGGGAGGGAAGTGCGGCCACCTGTGGAGACGGGCTGGGGACCTTCATTAATGGGAAGCACAGGACAGCATGGGGGTGATGAGGAGCCAGGTGCTGGGAACACAGGGACCAGAAGGAGTCAGCTGTGTCTGCTGATGCTAAATCAATCTCTCTCTCTCTCTCTCTCTCTCTCTCTCTCTCTCTCTCTCTCTCCTTCCCTCCCTCCCTGTCAATCTCCTCCCTGAATCTCTTAAATGCTATTATAAGTTGCCTTGCTCATGGTACTTCATCATATCAACAGAAAAAACAACTCAGACAGTAGCAGAGCAGAGAGCTGACTCCAGGCATCTCCACCGGCCGGGCCTGCATGCCTTTAAGCACCACGGTCACCTCACCTCACACCACCTCTTTACAGCCCTGGATTCAGGAGGAAGACGGATGCACACAGGCCAGCCTCACTCACAGTTACCCTCCTGGCGACCGGACAGGAGCCTGTAGCCCGTTTTAGATTGCCAACCCTCTTCTCTGGTTGGGCAGACACTCAGAGGGACCCCTTCTTAGGTGGGAATCTCAGTGCCCCTTCCGGTTTCCTTTTTCAAGAGCCGCCCCCCCTCTTATGAGCCCCCAGAGCCTCTGGCCTCGCCAAGCTTGAGTTGTCACCACACGGAGGAGGCATTTTGCAGGTGTGACCCAGTGGCCAGCCTAACTGGCACACTGAACTTCTAGACAAGAAGCTTGACATCCACGCTCCTGAAGTCAGAATGAGGGATTCCAAAGCGGCATGGGGAGGGGTGGCTGCCTGCAGATGAGTCTGTGGTCCCCAGTGTCTTCTACTGTGCATCTACTGTACACAGAGAGGCGGTGTGAGCACTCACGGTCCAACCTGAGCTAATGTGCCAACCAATCACCACTGCCAGGCTTCCCCTATGTTAGTAGTCGCGCATGTGCAATAAAGCAGACACTGTTGCCCGAAACTCTTCATCTCTTGTCGGAGGACGCCCGGGTAATGACAGCAACCACAAATGTGTACACCGCAGAAACAGATGGGCTAGGTGATCTTCTAGACTCCAGAGACGCTTTACACAGAGGGCAAGAGTAGGCTTTGACCTTGGAAAGTCTTGAAGAAATTCTAAGTTCAGCATGACATCGGTCATGAGTCTCAGATTAAACCAGATGCAATGAAAAGTAGCCGCCTGCGGCCAGGCAGGGAGTTGGACTGGAGGTCGGATGTGTCCAAATGTCCTTGTGGTTGATTGTCTGACCGTGATGGCCACTCCACTTTCCTCCTAGGGCAAGGATTCCTTCTCTGCGGGTTCTGGGCCACGTGGCCAGCTTTCCTCAAAGCCAAGTGCTACAATGACTGGGATTTTGGTCACAGGGTTATAAATCAAAGAGATCATTTTTGTTTTGTGACTTTAATACACACACACACACACACACAACACACACACACACACACACACACACACACACACACACACACACTTAATAAAATAAAAATAAACCTTAAAAAATAAGGCCATAATGGATTGGCAGTAGGAGGTGACCAACTACTGGAGCCTCAGGAGGCAGGCGACAATGAAGAACAAGGAACAGAGGGAAGGTTATAAAAACGTTTAGTCTTTGCTTTATTGAATTACAACAAATGAGCAACAAGTTGGAAAAACTGCTGTTATTCAAACTGCCTAAGCGTTTTACTTGTGCAGTGTACTCAAGAGGGGATGGAGGGGCTGGGGAGTGGCTGAGGGGACAAGGACAGCAAACAGAATCCATGTGGAGACATTTATACGCAATCTATCTCTTGGCTTTCCTTCTTTAAAAGTTAGGACTAACTAGAAATAAAAAGTGCACTCAGTTATCTAAAATTGGCCCAAACACACACACACACACACACACACACACACACACACACACACGGACAAAAGAGAATCAGTTCCCAGTGAGGCTTCAAGCTGAAATCTTGTCAGTGCCACACCGAGAAAAGGCAGTGAGGAAGAGCCAAGAAGCTCAGAGATGGTCACCTTTGTACGCCCTTGACGGAGAACGGCCGCCGACAAGGAAAGACCACTCTCCTTTAGTTTCCCAAGCAAAATGATGGCGGCATTACGCGTGGGAGCCCTTTCTGCTGGTATTTCAAAAAGATTTGTAAAGAGGGCAGCCACCTGCTCCCCAGTTATCCAAGCAGTTGAGAAGCCACACCCATCTCTTGGGATGCGGCTGAGGCAGGGTCTCCAAAAGGCAGCTGCAGGAGCCGGGAACGGGCTTGACATGGAAGGCCTGCTATCTGTGAACCCCTTCCATGTTGAGCCAGAGGACCAACCTCAGCCCTTCCCACGAAGACGGCTCCCAAATGTCAAACTACCTTAAAAAAAGAAAAAAGAAATTCTTCCTAACCTAAAATCCAGTAGATACTGTGGCACTAGCACTAAATATTCCCTCCCCCTCATCAATAAAGTGAAAAGAAAAAAAGACAATAGCTATGTGGTTAGCCCTCCTTCCTGGGGGAGGAAAAAAATAATAATAATGAAAAAAGCAAACACCTTACCGCTCGGAAGTGCTGAAAAGGGAGTTGCCCTCGACTAAAAAGGTAACAAAATTCCCACATTGTATAAATCGGTTCCAGTATAGCAAGAGGCGGGGGCCCGGGCAGAGGTGACACTGGAAACGCAGTAGTAGGACTTTGGCACTATGAACAATTCCCTCCCGGCCTCTGGGACGGGCACCGAGAGCTCCGATGTTCCCGGGGGTGGGGTGGGGGGGGGACCCAGGCACACGTCACTGAAGCACTTCCACCCAGAGTCGCTGGTGAGACAGCCCCCCCGGCAGCCGCTGGGGCGGGGCTTTCTTCTTTCTTCAAAGACAGAGCTTCCTCTTTGTCAGTGCAGAAGTTCAGACCAAGTGCCCTAGAGAGATGACACAAACCAAAGGATGTCAGAGAGAGGGCTGGGATGGAAGGCCTCGTCCTAGTCCCCTGCAGCTTGGGGACGACTTCCAAAGCCAGCATGGGTTGGAAGGAGGCACAGGCGCTTCCTCCATGCTTCCCTTGCGGGGGAGGGGGGGTTATTTTAGCTTGCTATTCTGTGATGAACCATACCAGTCCATCGTTGACAGGAGTCAAGGCAGGAGCTTGGAGCCAGCTCTGCTTGCTATTCCACACAGCCTCGCCTCTGACCAAGGAGCTCACTTTACTTCCAAGGGAGTACAAGCAGGAGCCATGGAGGATTCTGGTTGCTGGTTCCTAGGCTGGCTTATAGTCAGATAGCTTTCTTTGTACACTTGGGATCACTGCTGAAGGAGGCATAGCCCACAGCAGTCTGGGCCCTCCTGTTTCAATCAACAATCAAGCTATGCCCATAGGCCAATTTGATTGACACAGCTACTCCGCTCAGCTTCCCAGCTGGATGACTGACCGCAGGCTGTGTCAAGGTGATAGTTAAAGCTAACCGGGACAAGGGTTTGGGGTTGAAGCCCAGCTTCACGTCTTTCTCCCTGGATGACCTTGGGTAAGTCATCTTTCTTTGTGTCGTTTCTATGGTTCTTACATGAGGAAATTGGTGCTGATTGCAGGGTTACTGTGAGAATGAGTGAGCACATGTGAGGTGCATATCACATGTGAGTTATCATATCAAATGTCATATACATATCAAATGTCAGCCCATGTTGCTCCCACAGGCCTCACACGCGCACCGCTCTTGTTACGCAGGGAATGAACGACATGAGCTTTCACAAACAGGGTCCACCAGAAAATGTCGGTTTGGAAAGGCGGGCAGTAATCAGCCATGTTCCCCATATGGAGAGGCAGAAAGAAGCTCACAGGCATCTCTACTGAACAGGTCCCGTCTTAATGCCAGCGCCTGGGGGGCTCTCGTTTAGTATCTCATTTAATTCCAGCCACCACAGACAGCTCTTTCAGTGACACACAGTGAACTGTGTGTGTACGTTGTCGCCCCGGGATTGCAGATCAGACCTTTAAATCGGTGATCGAGCGCAGAACAATTAAGTCCTAATCTAATAGGCTGGGGAAGCAGAGAGAAGGATACTGGGGGTGTGAGGACCCAGTGGAGTGGGAAGGGGGCCTTCGGTCAACCAAGGAGAGCTAGCGATGCTCTTTTATAAGGCTTTGCTAGGTAGAGTTTTGTTGGAGAGGTGAGTTGCTGGGTCTGGGTTTTGATGTTTTATGTCAGGGTCTCCTTCCTTCTGATCTCTGTTGGCTTCCGGATGCCCACGCAATGTGACCAGCCAGCATGTTCCCGCTGCCACCATGCCTCTTGAATTGTAAGCAAGACAGCACTTTCTCCCTTAAACTGCTTCCAGTCAGGTGTTTGGTTACAACGAGAAAGGAAACTGGTTCAGTATGCAACAGTGTTGTGTCCAAAGTAACAGCCAAGAAACAAACAAGCAACGAAAATATCCACTCCTAATGGAAGCTCAAACAAACAAAAGAGCTCAGAGCAGAACTACCATCTGATCCAGCTGCATAGCCAAAGGACCCCAAAGGGAGCACAGACCAGAGATATCTGCATAGCCATGGTTACTGCAGCGTGGTTCACAAGAGCCAAGACACGCAGTAAAAATCTAGATGCCTATGGAAAGACACACAGACAGAACCCAGCCTTGTGTACACAACACAAGAGAGTGTTTCATCACAAAGGAGAATGGGGTCTTGTCACAGATGGTCTGAGCTCACTGTGTTAAGAGAAACAAGCTAGATACAGAAAGACAAACATCACATATTTTCTCTTGTATGGAGAAACAAAAGGAAACAGAACAAAACAACACAACACTAGACTC